AAATTTCAATGATAAGTTGATTAATACCGATGATGAATTCGCTGATACAAATGACGGATCGGTTAATACCGATGACGAGCTAATAATAATAAATACGGAAAATTAAAACTGAAAAACAGATCAGAAAAAACATTTGGTCAGCAATGATGTCGGATAGATCGTTAGTTTTCGCATTTTGTTAAATTATTCTTTGGTTTTCGGGAAATTATTTAAATATCCAAGCAAGGAAATTTTGGAACCACAGATGTTCACAGATAAACACAGATAAAAATAAATCTGTGTTTATCTGTGAACATCTGTGGTTCCATAAAATAATCTCACTTTGTTATTTTCCGAAACTGCAAACATTGAGCGCGGCAAAGCCTAATTCTTTTATTTTTTTCTCATCGGCAAAGGAAAGTTCCTTTTTGCCCATTTCGCAATAGATCGCCATTCTGCCCATATACGCGGTGGCGAGATTCGGGTCGAGTTCGATGGCTTTGGTGTAATCGGCTAATGCCAAATCCTTCTTGCCGAGTTGGTCGTAACAGCTTGCGCGACCGTTAAAGGCTTCGGCGGATTTCGGGTTTAACTTAATGGCTTGCTGAAAATCGGCAAGCGCAAGATTTAATTCCGCAATCGTTTCCGCGTCCAGACCGTCAATGTTGATGCCGGTCGAGGTCGAACGCATCAGTCCGCGTTCGATGTAGGCTTCGGCAAATTTCGGATTGTATTTGATCGCCAGCGTGAAATCGCTCATCATTTTTCGATACTGTAATGCGATGCCTTCAAAAACGGAATCTTTGGAAACACGGTCGGCGGCGGCGGCAGGGAACTTTTTGTAAGTGTAAGCGCGATTGAAATAGCCGCGTGCAAAGGTCGGGTTTTGAGCAACGGCGGTCGAAAAATCCTGAACCGCCGCCACGCCGTCGCCGCTTCGGAAATGCGCCATTCCGCGTGCGTTGTAATAGGCGGGTTTCGTTCCGTGCAGTAAGATCGCCTGCGTGTAATCGGCAATCGCTTTTTTCAACTCTCGTTGCGATTGGTAAAAGCTTGCGCGGTTAAAATATGAAACGGCTGATTTCGGTTGAAGTTCGATGGCGCGATTCATTTCCGTCAAACCCGAAACCGAATCTTTATAAAGTTTGGCTAAACCGAGATATGAATAGGCAAGCGCGTATTTGTTGTCGAGGCTGACGGCTTTTTCTAAATCATTGATCGCGTCGTCAACCGAATTGAAATCAATAAAAAGTTTGCCGCGATTGGTCAGCGCGGAAGTATTGTTCGGCTCGATTTTGATGATGCTGTTGAAATCGGCGAGAGCTTTGTTGCCATTTTCGTCGATCAAATCGTTGTCGGCTTCGTCTTCAAACAGTTTTTCGACAATTCCCGAATAAGCCAAACCGCGCAGATTCAAAAATTCGATATTGTTCGGCGCGGTTTTCAAAAACGCCGTCAAATCGGGAATTGCTTCCTTGCCTTTATCAATCATCGAATAAATTCGACCGCGTTCGCGCAAAGCCTCGATGTAATTCGGGTAAATTTCGATCGCTTTCGTGTAACTCTCGATCGCTTCGGAAATATCGAGGTTTTTCCAATGCGCCAAGCCTTTCTGATAAAACTCTTCCGCTTTTTTTCGGTCAGCCGCAGAAATGTCTCTACTGATTTTTTCTAAATCTTTATCCGAAATTTCAAAGTTGAATAAATCATTTGAAGTATCGTTTTTCG